TTCGCCGGTGCTGATTATTGTCCTTAATAACCCTCAGAGATAAACCCTAGGGTTTTCACATCCCGATCTTTCTTAAATTTTCATTAAACTATGTTGATGCATGCCAAAACTGACCTCTACCATCAATCTTCCTCTAATACTAGTTTCTCACTATAATCCATTCTTAGAGTTAGTTATAGAAGTTTTGTCAACCTATATCTTTGTCACTCTTAGATTGTCAACACTGAGATTTGCTAAATGATGATATCAAAACTATTTTTTAACACTATGAACAAGATCGTTTCATTCAATTTATGATGAACCTTGCTTATGAATAAAAAACAATTCATGGATCCTTTGATTGTTATCCCCTCCACATCCTAGGGCAAATTATTGCGTCCGGTCACCTAACATGCGGACATCCAATCCGGACACGCCACCTCACCCGGATGCACTGGGCCCCGGTATTTTTGAGTGCGTGGCGCGTTTTTATTGGTGTCCGGACGAATCCGGACACCGGACACAATAATTTGCCCCATCCTAGAGTGCCGTAGCTTAATTATCTTAGAAGAAGCACGAATTGGTACATCAAACATTTGCCCTCAACTCTTCTATTATTGTTCTCATCCATTTTACACATGTTCTTTACACCCTCTAGTTCCTCCTACGTGTTCATATTGCAATAATATTGGTCATACTCTTTGAGAATGTCCTACTTAGAAGTGTAATTATCACTTCCACATTTGTCAAAGACTTGACAACAATGAATGCCACAAGGCCCCTCGTATAGTCTCCTAATGCTCGACCCTTCCTCCTGGAAAAATTTTCAAGTCTAACACTCAGTTTAGCATCAAGGCCTCCATTATTGTCACTGCCTCATACATCATTGATCTTTTTTCATCTGTTATCCTCATTCTTTCTATAGCTGCTTTGCGGGCACTTCGCAATCAATATAAAACCCAAACTAATACATCTCTCTCCACTATCATATCCACTATCTCGAGCACTTCAACTTCGTATTATACTTCACTTGCTACAATGACTTGATGTCAACCCTTTGTTGCACAAGATAAAATTCTACAACCCATTGTTGCATTATAACATATAAAATTCAACAATAACTCTAAAATACTTATGGTGACCATACCAATATTTGATATAATATGTGTGATTATAATCTCCGGAGTCACAATTACCATCAACTTTAGACATTAATGTCATCAAACTCAAAAAACATTCTACGAGCCTCCTTAAATCAAACTACAATGATGAGTATTGCCTATGCTACCGAATGCCATCAAACTCAAACTACAATGATGAGTATTATTGTTGAAGATTTTAACTAGGTAGGTTACTAGCATTGCCTATGCTACCGAATGTCCAACTTAAATCAAAAGATAAGATAAAAGAACCTCTCTCACCAAGATGATGATGAGTACGATTATGAAGATTAGGGCAGCAAAAGAATCGAGCCAAGCATGTGCTTGTTTATATTTGAGTTTATTTATTATCAACTTGTTTAAGCTCGATTTGAGCTTTTTTGTTCGTGTTCAAGCTTGATTTATTTAACTTAATGGATGCTCATGTTTTGTTTGTGTTTGTGTTTGTTTTGTGTTTAGTTCTTTTCATGCTTATTGAGCTTTAAATAAACAAGCTTTATTAAGCTATAAATGAACACTACTTCAAGATGTTCATTAGCTTAGCAAACGAGCCTCAAAATAATCTAGTACATTTTATATTTACTATACTTTACTTTGCATCATTTTGTATTTCAAACAAACACCAAAATTTGTAGAACTCTTACATTTGAAATGCTTTACATCCTAAAGTAATCCAACCAAACAGGTTCTAATTTAATGGCTATTATATGCATATAATGCGTATAAATGGAAAATAAGCCATGAGTGTACGTTCACATTACACTTTGAAGGGGTGTCAACTTTTGACCCGACCCGGAAAAATCCGGATTTGGGTCAACCCGTTTGTGAAACGTCGGGTCCGGTTCGGATTTCTAACCCATTTGTAAAACGGGTCGGCTTGACCCGACAACCCGTGGGTCAACTCGAATTGACCCGTTTCGCAAACCCGCTGCTCAGGTCGCATCCCGTCAGCTCGTCAGGTAGCGTCCTGTCAACCCAAACCCGACCCGTCGACCTGAATTGACACCCCTAACACTTTTGTACATTAAAGCAAAAAAGAACTGATGAAAATTGCATTGCGCTTTGAAAACATTCCTCTTAAGGTTGCTCTTTATAAATAAAGATAGTTAATATCTTTATGCTAATTTCCCTTTTTAAAAGACCCCATAACATGTACAAATAAGACCTGTAGTTAATGTTTAACACGATCAGCTTCTGCAGCGTTTTCAACGCAGAGCATTTTTTAGTCGAGGAAGTAAAAATTGTCCTTTTCTCCGAGCATACAACATGATTAAAAATATGAAAAGCCTACTTTTAGCACAATCTATATCAGAAGAAATAAAAGATTCACCATGATTTCAACCTAAAAGTAGAGAAAATATTTTAGTTCATATACCTTAGATTGGAAGTATCTCATAGACAAGACAATAATATCTCGCAATCTACAAAATAACAGAGCTTGAATCAGGATTATGCAAAGAGAAAGCATTGATACATAATGTAAGAATGTCAGTTAGATTCTCGGTCACTTTAATAGCAAAGATGAGATAAAACATTATAGGGGAAGAAGCAAAAATGAAATAAAAGGTTGTATGCGCGTTCATAAAAACAGCATAAGCAATAATGATAAAGCTGATTAACTTGGTTGTTGGAAAAGCAATTTATCGTACAAAATACATTCATATTACCTTTAGGCTGCCGAAGTTTCATTTTCTGTTACCTTTGGGCTTACTGATTTTTATTTTCTAATCCAATCGCATAGTGGCAATCTTCAAGTCTAAGATTAACTTCGCTTAAATCCGTTGAAAATGCCAAAGAGAATCAAAATATACTTTTGTACCCTCAGTAGATGTTATTTCTACATTTTGTCTTATAGTGACATAAATGTTCCACATAAGTTCCTTTATTTACTTTGCTCATTCATCTTCTTTCTTAGTTTCGCTACACAATTTTTATATGTACCATCAATACTTAACTGCTTTTAGGAATGGGTATTAAAATTTTCATGTCAATATAATGCAGTTTGTTCAAACATGAAATACCAGCCAGAAATTGAAACCTCAGGTTGAGAAATAATGCATCGTCATAAATAAAGCGAGAATATGAAGATATATTTGGAAGAATTCAAGCCTAATGCCCCGACTTACAACTGGTGCATGTTAGTTTGAAGAATTAATAATGACCTTAGAATGAAAAGAAGACCTTAAAATATAAGAGGCACATGAGGTATAATTATTCACCAGTATGTTGCAAGACTCAGAATTTCATCTATAATCAAATAAATAATATTCACAAACTCCCAGAAAGCTATGGGGCTGTTTGGTTGCAAATTTTTAAAATTCAAATTTATTTTAAATGTAGTGTAAGCTAAATACAAATTTTTTTTTTTTAAAATACCCAAGGTTGCTTGGTTGATAGTAAAATAAATTCACAAAATCACTTTTTGGTCTTTAGTTGGAAGTAAAAAGAATAATTTTTTTTATAATAACACCGTCGTTGCCAAGTCCCAAATCCTAGATGAAAAAAATGGAGGGTTGTGTTAGGTGGTTGACAGCTAACGTAAAACTTGTTAAATAATCATAAAATGAATTCTTTCATATATTATATTAATGCTAAGGCATTTCCTGGAAGTGACGCGTTATATGGCATGAATACAGTGAGAAATATGCAAGGGCCTTTGCACCGGCGCTCGAGTATAGAGTTAAATAAGCAAGTTCCCACATTACAATAAGTTGGAGAGAAGGCTAAAGAGATTGATATTTTAGGGTTTAAACTATAGTATTCATGTAGGTTTATAACTGATCTGCTACTCATAGAAGTCTCCTCTGCTAGTTCGGAAATGCTCCAACAAGCACTCTTTGAATTCCCTCCAACTCCGTATGGGTCGTCTCATGTCTCTCCACTAGTACCAAGTCAATGCCTTCCCTACCAAACATAGGTCAGCTGCCATCAACTTCTTTTCCCATCAACTTCTCTTCATCAACCAATTGATGACAAAGTATCACTCTATCTTGTAAATCCACCATGTGCATCATTCCCTTCAAAGATGGATATCTTCAGTTTCCAAACCTTCGGATCTCCCACATTTCATATGAATCCTCCATAATTTCCCCTTCCCCATGTGGATGGCCCTCCCCAATTGTCCCAATCCTCCCTTCTGCATTCATACCCAAACCCTTCTTCCATGTCCCCCCTTCTTCCGTCAAAATCAGCACCTCTCCGGCCAAAATCGCCTTCCCTTCTTTCCCAATTAGCACCCCTTTGCTCATACCTCGCAGGTCCATGCCTCTCTCCATATCTTCTGCCTCTCTCCTTCCTCTGGAAAAGGTCAAGATGGGGTCTTCTTCCCTCTCCCTCCCTCTACAATTTCCACCTCATTTTCATCCCTATGAATTTTAGAATTCGTATTTCTCCCTACCGGCCCTCTTGCCTCCGATGTCACCATTTGGTTTAGATGATCCCATATTTTCTTCAGCATCTCCTAAAGATCCGAGAACTTGCCTTCTATGAAGGAAATTCTATCTTCCACAGTTGCTTTGATTTGGCACATCTCCCCTTTAAGTCGTTCTTCCAAAGCATCCACCTTGCCCACCATCAATACCCGGATTTGTTAGATTAAAAAATCTGGATCTCGACCCTAAAAACAACAAAAAAAATCAAGTTTTTGAACAAAATATTGATGCAGGAATTTACCAAAACAATCCAAAAAACTGCTCTGATACCAATTTGATAGAACACGCTGGTAGTTTTCAAGAGAAACTTATCAATCTTAGGAAATTGGTGAAAAATCTCCACAAAACTCCAAGCAAAACCAGAAAATAGAGGATATTTTGTATTATTTGATGAAAAGAACATGAAAATACCAAGATACAAGTGATCCTCTATTCGAGAGGAGGATCTATCTCTCCCAATTCTCTAAATGCCGCTAGAGCTGGAGAACACCAAGCACCAAAATAGAAAATCAGTCACAATCAACATGCCTTAACCCTAATACAAAACTACTATTTTAAGCAAACATAAAAATAACACAAAAGGACTAAATAGCCCCCTCTCTGTCTTCCCTAGGCAGTGGAACCCAATCCAAGGGGGGCAGGATTTAGCTCATCCGGGCCATCAGACCTCCGCCTGCTATAGCAACTGAGTCGGACCAAGGGTTGGGCAGACTAGATCGGTCCATCATTCTCCCACTGGATTTAGATTATATCCATCAACTCAATGAGAACTTGAGACCAAGGATATGTGTGCATTATTGTTGTCTATGGAGAGTAAAACTATGCATATGTTCATAAGACAAAATAGAACAAGGAAAGATTTGTTGCAATACAATGATTAAGATTACAACAATGGAAAAGTTGGTGGCAATGCAGTCATGAAGGTTACAAAAATGCGGAACCTTAATAAAAATACACCAATGAAGGCTTTAGTTATAAGAAATTAGAGAAAATGGAGCACAACAATGAAAGCCACAGGATTATTGTAATGCAACAAAAAAAGGCTGCAATAATGAAAACATAAGATAGACAAAAAGCCTAGAGATTTGATATCATGACATGAGTTAAAAAGAATGAGTTATATTTTTTTTAATATTTATGCAAAATCTACCACTGTTATGAAAATCGGACCGGACCAGCCGGTTCAACCGGTTCAACCGTGAACCGGTCTGGTGCCCGGTCCGATCTAGCTTACAGAACCCGCTCTGCATCGAACCGGATCAAACTGGTGCGGTTCACCGATCCGGATTGGAAAGAACCGGCCGGTTTATAAAAATATTTTATTTTTGTTTTAATTAAAATTTTAAAAATATATTTTATTTTATTAAATTTTTTTAAACTTTTTAAAATATTTTTATTAAATATGATGATTAATTTCATTTTTCTAAAATGATATTTATATGTATAAAATTTTATTATATATTTTAAAATTTTATAAATATTATTAAATGCTCATATACATATATTATATGATTTTAATTTTATTAAATTTTAATAACATTATTATTTATTACGTCATCCGGTTCGACCACGGTTCGACCGTGAACCTCTCTCTTCCGGTCCGTTGTCCAGTCCGGTTTTCACAATCTTGGTATTTACACAATCCTAGGAGAGATTCTAATAGGAAACATAATAAATTAAGAAATGATAATTATAATAGTCTACAGATTAGTAGGCGGTAAGGATCAAATGGAACAACAAGGATGAGGCAAAAGAAGTAAGACGTCTTTGCAGTGCGGATCCCAGCTACAAGAACTTATGCAGGCATTTCACAAGAATTAAAGAGAGGTGTCAAAATTTATTTCTTTTGGAGATAGTTATTTCTCCACATATTAATGTTTATTTTTTTTTAAACTTAAAATAAGAGAACAAAATTCAATCATAAAATATCCAATTTTCTATTCTCCTGCCGTCTTATTCTAATTTTCAAGATAATCATAGATTTTCTTCATTTAACTGCAATGATTGAAGAATTCTTTTATGTAATACATCCAAAAAAATTTATAGGTTACTACGATAATTCTATGATTTAATCATTAACTTTGATCAGTCACATGCTAAATAAATTTATAAATAATAAAACATCATCAATCAGTTTGATCTTTGACATCGGTAAACAGTGGCTGTTATAATATCATAACTAAGTATGCTTTTTGACCGAAAATCAGCTGATTTTTTGGAAAAAAAATCAGCTGGCATGATATTTGCTGACATACATTCCAATGAGTCATGTGATCATGCAACATGGAAAATTGTACAAATTATTTGACCAAGAAAGCTTTTCTATCATCTAAATGGTTTATTTGGATATTGAAGTCCCCAAGCAACTTGAAAAGGGTAAGAAAATCAATTTAAAGTCTGAATATTTTATGAAGAACTCCCATCATCTGCTAAATGTAAAATCACAATGAACTATCCTAAAAAAACCTTGAAACCTTGAAAGGTGCTTTGATACCATTTTGTTAGAAAAATACATATTCTAGAATCCTTCGATCAAAGTCCTATCTTTCCTAGCCATTTAGAATAGTTTCTTTTTATTAAAAAAACCTAACAAACCAACTTGGAAATTTATCTGAAAATATCTCAAAATTAAACATTAAATCACATAATTATCTTATTAACCCACAAAATTAAGAAATAACACATTCAAATCTATGAAAATTAGGTATCACAATATTGAACCATTGTTGGCATAGAAATTATCAATTTTCAGTTCACAAATTCAATATTATGTAATGAGAAATTTCCTCTACCTTTCTAACCTTAATATTGATATATTTTGCAAGAAAAAAAGGCAACTGCTTATGAGATTTGCAGCAGATAATTAAAACTACCTCTGAGGGTTTCCTGAGGGTTTCTATGAAATCTATTATTTAGGATTTTAAACGAAGTAATTTAAATAAAAATGACAAAAAAACATATAAAGCATGCCAGAGAGGAAAAGTGACTACAAGTATTTTGGCGAGGTGAATATAAAATACATCACCGTATATCATTCTCCAAGCTATGAGGCTGAGAAGTTCCACTTGTACTGAAAGGCAAGGTAGTTCCATCCGATCCAATTAGCACAAATTGTGTTGACTGCCCATTTGGTACTTTAATCTGTAAAATTATACAAAGATCAAATGAGAGCAATACCAACTTGACGAGTTCCATCAATAAAAATGAAAATTGCATTCAAGAGCTTACATATAACTCCGGTGAATATTTTTCTTCTATCACCACATGCTGCGTACGACTAACTTTAATCTGATAACCAGATCGTTTCAAAAACATAGTTGTTTGTTCCCAAGCCTCTGAAGAATCTATCTGCTGCACAATCCATGCATAGATGTGATTTAAGAATTTCATTAACACGAATATTCAAGAAAAGAACAATGAGTGTGGTCATCTTTTACAAAGTTTCAGGGAACTAGTTCTTCTTGGAACAAAAAGAGAACAAAAAAAAAATTCCTACGCGGGCTGCAAAAATTCACACCCGGCTCTCTTCTATGACAGTGATTCCGAGTTAAATTTTTAAAAGGCAGATGGAATATCAAATAAGACACAATCTAAATATTTCAGAGGACTCCATGATCTAATTCGATGTTTTTCATAGGTGCAAGCCTAAATGATTAATTATCCCTCCCAATCTCCAGGAAAACTTTCAATTAAGGTTAATCGATAGGCTCTAAATATTTTGTCCATAATAGCAACAATTTTGATTTTGAAAAGAGAATATTTATCCATGTTAGCTTTGAATGGATGATGGTAAAAATGATGATATCGAGATCCCATGGTTCGATCATTCCGGGTTATAATGAACCCTAGTTAGTCAAATGACGTAGTCAACCCAGTCTGACTCAAGCATATTGTCAATAGCTGTGAATTGTGTAATCCAAGAAGACCTTGTAGAACTACTGGATGTTTGTATAAGGTGACAATTTTACATTGATGTAAGCTAGTAGAGGATTTCACACCTTATCAAGTGCACCCTATGATCTTACCACCATGGGGGTACCTGAATGAATTTTTTTCGTTTGTACTTTGTCGCCACCATTTCCTTGCTTACAGAAGATTTGACTGGTAGTTTGCATGCCATTAAAATTCATCTAGACTCCCATTACAATACATACCTTGTCGATTATACCCTCGCATGTAAAGGATCAGGTCTATAAGTTAATACTTGTAATTATAACCTGCAGTCATGACACCAAGAATTTGTATTTTCAAAATGAATTTCCTTTGTTGAAGACTTTGAAAGCATTATGCAAACAAAGGACAATAACTATGAGAGATTCTTGATTGAGTATATAATTCATAGTATATGATGATGCAAGTGTGCTTGATTAAACCAAGAGCAGGAGATTACAACTAGTCTTTTAATTGTGTTTGCATTTGAATTTTTCACACAAGCTTTCTTAACTCACTACTTACGACGTAGATGATAGAACTTAAAAGATGAGATCTATAACTTTGCCCTATAGCTGTATGCAGCACAACCCACTCAAAAACATGTGTACAACATGCTAATGATTTGAATTTGCGTTCAAAAAAGAGTCTACAACAACAACAACAAGACATTATCCCACTGTGGGGTTGACTACATGAATCCTTTTTTTTCATTGTATCCTATTAAGAATTAAATTCTCATTTAACTCTAATAAGAAAAGGTTATTTTTAATGTTTTTTTATGAAGTTCAAAATAGCTTCAAACTTCTTAAGGAATTCACACACTTCTCGAGCCGAGCCAAAGTTTAACTAGCTTTTTAGTGAGCACAATATTTTTTTATTTTAGGTTTAAGCATTGATATGCTTATCAAAACACATACGCAAAAGATTGCTTTTAAAAATTTGAACAAAGGTAGCGATACGTGAGCTTTTAGTGAGCTTGCACAAGTTTTGAGATAATGTAATTGAGTTGAAGCTCATTACACGAGGCATTTACACAATACATAATTATTTGAACTGAACATATTGTCATTAAAACATGCACAACTTCTCACTTTTAACTCATTCTTGTTTGCACTAAGTTTGCTTGCATTTCTTTAACTGTGGATCTTATTGCTAATATTGCAATTTGAACTTTATTATGAGTATAAAATAGATGCCATTTGCTTGCATTAAGTCCACATTTTGTGCACGTATGTCTCACGGGAATTTTTTTTTCTGCCTATAAATAAGGAGCTACTATAATTCATTATCATTCAAGTATATATTCATGAGGATGCTATGTTCATGCTCGTGAGTTGCCAAGTTCCCTTCAAATCCATTGTTGTTTAGTTTTTGTTTTTTCATTGACATATATTACATTTAAAATTTTCATTTTTGCTCCCCAATTTGTAGATGTACTTTCATTTTGTTGCATTTTTTATTTCATTGAATCAATTTATCTTTGTCCTTTTTGAGTTCTATTAGCAGAAATTTTGAAAATGTAATCCCATTTCCCTCGCACAAGAGGCATTTGAGAAAGTGGTTGGTGTATATGTGGTGTAAAACACAATGGATGAGTTCTCTAGCCCACCATGCGAATAACGATGTAGATGGGTCTTCATACATGCATGAAAACTTATAGTATTTGATTTTCCCTCTGCATCATGAAAGACATGTTAAAATACTTTACATAATATTCATGTCTTTTTTCCTACGAAGCCAATAAAGGTATGTATTAGTTTTCACCTACACTTGAAAATTTTGCAATACAACATGAAGTTTCCCTATCATGTCGAATGAGTTGCTAAAGGAGAGGAGATCATTCGAGGGAGAGTTGTGAGAGAATATTAGATCAAAGGGTGAGGGTGCACGAGTGTTCGACGACTTTAGAGCATTTAGAGGCAGAGAGATCGGGAGAGGGAGGCAAGAAAAGATTGAGGTAAATGTGGGATTTAAATTCTTTAGCACTCAAAATAATATAATTTATACATTTAATATATAATTGTACTATTTTTATATAATGCTCAAGATTTTAAATAATTTAAAAAATAACATCCTTCTCATCCTCTTAGTTTCAATCATGTTCCTGATGACGAGAGATAAGGTCGATGGTGGCCAAATTGATGATAGCGACCGAGTTTGAGTGTTAGGATAGCTGGAAGAATAGACATCGACAATATTTGAGGATTACATTATTAGCTTGGGGTAATCAAGTAGAGAAAGAAGCAAGTTAGTGTGGAGAAGTGCCAGTGAGTGACTGCGGTGAGTAATGGCAACAATACAAACAAGCTCAGGTGAGGGAGACATGATTGAGAGAGGAGCAAAAGGAGCAGTGCTCACGAGTCACATGAGATAGAGATAGAGAATAAGAGATAGGTCATGCATGTGAGAATCGGATAGATTGGAATAATTGAAGATGAGGTGGTGCAAGTGGTGCATCGCAGAGAATTTTGGTAACTCCGTTAATGGGGAGCTATGTAAATAGAGAAGCATGTATTATTATTATTAATTTCAATTTTATGTTATGTTGCATTAAAATTAATTTTGCTTTATTTTATTTTATATTCGATAATAACGCTTATGCATTAACTTTTACTTGCAAAATTAACATTGCTCAAGCATCACGAATAAATTTTTCGCCATGCCAAAGTTAAAATTTTCTTATTTTCTTGCACATCAAATTGGTGATGCAAGGATCTTTTTTGGGTATTTACAATGTTCCAGATGTAACGACACAATCCATTTTGTGAAATAAAAAATGGTTGAATATTTTTCATTATGAGCTTGATGTTTTGAACTTATGTACCATTGCATCAATTGTTCATCATTGTTGTCATGTTCCATCCAATTAACTATGGGATGCATATGGAGGTCAACTTCTTCAAAAATTAAATCGGAGACCATATGAACTCTTATTTCAACAAACTTACAATCGAACTGAACATCTCGAAAATACGAACCCAACGGCACCAAATTCGACTCAATCCGAACCCAAATGACTCCAAATCAAAGACTCAAAGCATATTTGGAAGGTTTAAACCATAATTTGGATTATCAAATGGTTTCCAAACATGACATGCTTATAGTCAAATTGACCGGCTAGACAAGACGAATCCAACGGGCCTAAGATCGCCGAATTCTGATATCACTAAGACATTTAAATGTCCAATAAATGATCCATGATCAATAGATTTAAGATCGACCGTCCATTCAAATCACTCCCAATTTAATTTTCTATTCATTTATATTTTTTTTCTTGGTTGATATTAGCTTAATCCTGTATTGATTCGATCTTAAAGAAATTTTATGATTTGTTTTTGTACAATGAGATTTTTAATATCACGTATTTAATTAATATATTGAACTCGTTCTAGCAGTAATCAAGTGATTTGATGATTGGAAGTCATTTTATTAAGGAAAAAAAATAAACTAATTGACTATCAAAGTTTTATCATTTTTAAAACTGATTATTTTGGTCCCAAGTTCAGATGTAAAAAGTTGAAGGAAAATTAAAAAAAAAAATTAGCCCCCCCCCCCCCCCCCCCCCCCCCCCCCCCTAAATATATTTTCTGGCTCCGCCCCTGAGTGCGAACCTATAGAGCAGCCTAACAAGTTTTGTTTTAGAATGTTTACGGTCTTTAATTCAAATGTACCGATGCTTCTAATATATGAGGAGGTATTTCACATTTTGGATGAATGAATGAGCCATACTTTCCTTTCTCCCTCCTCCCTGTAACTATCTTGGTGGGTATGATGAGGTTCTCCTAGCTATAAGGATTTTCCTTCTGTGTGCAAGAACCAAGAACAAAAAGTTTGAAGTGTGCTAAGTTTGGATTCTCGCAATCAAACAAATATAAAAGTGTTTTGATTATATCTCGTTCTTACTAACTTTTGTATTGAATCATATTCCGTGATTCAGCTGTGTAATTTCAGACTCCATCACCTAATCTTCAACCATCCAGACTCTCCCATGGTCCGTGTTCAACTTCAATCTCCACACCTAGCCTTCAGCCACCCAGCCCTCTTATGATTGAGATATCCCAAGGCACACAAACCGAGGGATCCAATTCCTGTTCTGCTATAAAATTGACGCAAAACTTGTATTAGCTCCCAAAGTAATCTTTATCAATAACCAGAGATGGATATCATCGTCATAATACAGTCTTATCCCAACAAGAGGTGTATTGCAAAATTCAAAAATTCAGTTAAAAGGATCACTAACAGGAATGGCATTGAGCTAGTTCAAGGTAAAAATCACATCCCGGCCCATTTCTATCTCAGATTGACCCCACCGGAAGACCAAAGGAAACCAATTCCATGACACTTGTTAAATATTTGAATTAAAAAATTCTAGCTTGCCACTCACTTTAACAGATTGAACTCACGGTAAGACCAAAGGAAAAAAAATACCATCACGTTAGTTTCATATTTGTATTAAAGAATTTCTTGCTATTCACTTTAACTGATTTAACATGTACAACAAAAGGAAGAAACATTGAATGAATGATAAGTCGAGCTTACATCAATTGATGGAGTAGAAATAAGTAATAGAAGAAACTTGACATACCAACAACATAACATTAAAAACCGCTCTTCCGGAAGAAAGATGAGTTTCAATCTCATGCTGCATGTCTGAGTCTATAAAATGATACAAGAAATGTTAGAAAACAATCTAAAATTTGAAAGAATAAACTTCGTTCAAGCCAAGAAAAACACAAAATATGTAAATCTGGAAAATAAAATTCTCAGTCATGTTGGATATTGCAGCACTGTTAATAAAGGCACAAAGGTAAGAGCCAATGAAAATTAAGTGAAGATCCTTTTGTTGACACAGACTAGATCAATTTATTCCTTTATAGATAACAAAATCCAATTTTTCAACACCACCACCACCAAGCCTTTATCCCACTATGTGGTGTCGGCTACATGAATCCTTTTTCTCCATTGTGTCCCGTTAAGAGTCAAATTCTCATTTAAATCTGATAAAAAAAGGCTATTTCTAATATTTTCTAACCAAGCATTTTTAAGTCTACCTCTACCTATCTTAATATAAGTCAAATCTAATACATTTACTTCCTAACCGGGTCATAGGAAGGCTGACATTTTATGTAACCAAACACATTTAAAGCGACTCTCTCTAATCTTATATTCCACTGGAGCTACTCCAACCATTTCACATATATGCTTGTTTTGTATACTGTCTCTAAGAGTAAAGCCACTCATCCACCTGAGCATTTGATAGTAAACACTTGAAGATTTCAAATAAATCTTATCAATTTCGAAAAAAAAAATAGTGAGAAACTCTTCCAAACTCCAATGAAAAAAAATAGTAATTTTATTGCAATAATTAAATAGAACGGAAGATAATAACAAGATACAATTGATCCTCTATTTGAGAGGAGGATATATCTCTCCCAAATCTCTAAACGCCGCTAGAGCCCAAAAGAAATCTAAGAGATATCAAATTTCAACCAAATTCAAGATGTTCTAACCCTAGGAAAACAAACTATTTAATGCATACAATTCAAAAGGAAATATCTAAACAGCCCCTACATTCAAATTTCCCTCATAACTCCCTAAAAAATCCTTACTAAACAGCTCCCTTGGACCTGGGCATGCATTCGGCACATAAAAGAGAGGCAGAAGAGTCTTGTTTCGCTCGTAAGCCAGTCCCATATTGACCGACTGTACTGGTCTACCAATACTCCCCTCCCAAAAACTCACCTTTTCTGAAACATGGAAAGACGAAACCCTCCTCCATTCCCTTATCATCACAAATGGTAAGAACCTGAGAAGTTAGGTCCTTACACTATGCTCCGTAACATTTGAAACAAAGCCCTTCGCCCTCTTTTCCTGTAATTCCGTTTCTATGAGCTTCTTGCAGTTGTCCCCATGTCTTCCTCCTACGGTCTTTTCCTTTAAAATCCTCCGAAGAGTATCTGGTGTTGGCTCCTTGGATGCCAATACAGTGATGGTCATCCTGTACAAACCTACTGAGCTACTTCCTCCCATTCCTCTCTCCAGGTGCCTTTGATCCTCCACCAATTGAGCTAGCTCCATTGCCTCTCCCAAGTCACAAGGCCTCATCACTCTAAGCACTGCTCGGATCTCTGGTTTCAGTCCTTTTATGAAGTTACCCTCTAATATTGTCTCAGAAAGGCGGTCCAATCGACTAGTAAGGTACTCGAACCTCTCCTGGTACTCTATCACTGAACCATCGTCAAGGTGAAGAACTGCTTGTAGAAGTCTCCTCCCATGTCGGTTTGAAAACATTCTACCAAGCAATCCATGAACTCCCTCCAACTCCGTATAGGTCATCGCATGTCCCTCCATTGGTACCATGCCAAAGCCTTCTCTTCCAAATATAGGCCCCCTGTCGTTAGTCTCTACTCCATCAACCCATTGACGGAAAAACATCTTTCAACCTTGTAGATCCACTTGTGCACATCCTCCCCCTCAAAGATTGGCATCTTCAGTTTCCTCACCCTCGGATCGCCTTTGTTCCCTCTGTTCCCTCCATAATTTTCCATCCCCCAAGGGGGTGGTTCTCCCCAAGAGTCTCAGTCATCCCTTCTACGCTCACACCCAAATCTTTTATCAACTTCCCACATTCTTTCAAATTCAGCACCCATTGGATCATAATAAACCCCTAACATTGCATTATAATAAACCCCTTTCCCTTTCAAAATCCACCCCTTTCCTCTCAAATCCAGCACCCATTCGTTATTGCCCTGCTTTCTCATGGCTCTCCCCATACCCTCTACCCGGCTCTTCCCTAAGAATAGGCTCTAGGGAAGGTAATCTGCCTCTTGATCTTCCCTATGACTCATTGACTTAGAGTTTTCTCCACTTTTCTAGTTGTTTGAGACTTCCCTCACTCCGATGACATTTTTTTATTTTAGGTGTCGAGCACTTTCTTCAACATCTCCCCTAGGATGAAAATTTTTGAATCGATCTTATCATGGATGACTTTTATTTCTTTTTTTTTAATCTGAAACTTGAGTTTGTAAATCTGAAATTTCATATTTCATTTGTTTGATCTCCCCTTCGAGGCATTCCTCCAACACATCCACTTTCTTAGCCGCCATCAATACCCGAATTTTTGTTGGACTAAAAATCTGAATCTTGATTCCAAAAAACAGCAAACCCCTCTTCCTCTAGCCCAAAAATAGCCAATGAAATTCACAGAGACATCCCTAAAAAGTACCAAAATTTGTTCTGATACCAATTTGATAGTAAACACTTGAAGATTTTAAGTAAATCCTATAAATTTAGGGAAAAAATAACGAGAAACTCATGCAAACTCCAATGAAAACTAGAAAAACAGTAATTTTATTGCAATAATCAAATAGAACAGAAGAAAATAACAAGATACAATTGATCCTCTATTCAAGAGGAGGATCTATCTCTCCCAAATCTCTAGACACCGTTAAAGCCCAAAAGAGACCTAAGATATCTCAAATTTCAGTCAAATTCAATATTCCCTAACCCTAGGAAAACAAACTATTTAATGCAAACAATCCAAAAGGAAATATCTAAATAGTCCCTAAATTCAAATTTCCCTCCTAACTCCCTCAAAAATCCTTCCTAAGCATCTCCCTTGGACCCGAGCATCGTTCGGCGCGTAGAGGAGGCGGAGGAGTCCGCCTATTTCGCCCGTAAGCCGGTCCCGTATGGACTGGCTGGACAGATCCAGTGGACCAATCTAATAACATCCTCATCTCTGCAACACTTAACTTAATGATAGTAGAGCTCAAATTCTAACTATGTATATCTTGCAGTTCCAATATGCATTACATTCACCAACAGCAGTATATACAATGTTTCCTTCAAACTCAATCAAAATGGGTAACACTACAAAATCTAGACTCAAATCATATTAGAAATAAAAAAATAACAAACTATACACCATCCCAAAATCCATAACACTGTGTCACAATAAAGGTAACATATTTTGTAAGATGGTAAACTAGCAATATTTTATGGCACAAAATATTAGCATTAAAAGATAAGCATAAAGTAAAGTGCTATAAAAATGAGGATGCTCAATTAGAAGAGTGGCTTTACACTTCGAGAGATGAAATGTGAAATGAGTATATTGGTGAAAAGGTTGGAGTTGCTCCAGTGGCAAATAAAATTAGAGATTCGTCTAGATGATCTAGTCAAATAAAACATCCGCCTTCCGATAACCCATTTAGGAGAGTAAATGTATTAGATATGGCCTATGATTCAATTAGTGCAACTACTTAATGCCCGTGGATTCAAATCTCACAAAAACATCCTCTTTAAGCAGGAGTGAGGTTACATTCAATCAACCTATCTCAGAAACCCACAGCTAGCAGGAGAAAACTTGCACCTTAACCTATTTCCTCGGTAGCATGCTTTACTGACTTAATAAGATAAAAAGATTGTACAGACCAATGAAATTTGAGCATAAAAAACCAAAATACTTGAATAAAAATATTGCATTGCAAAAGAAAAGAAAAGAATCTCATTCCAATTACAAAGGTTCGTACAACATACCACAAGTAATTTTGTTCTGATTGTTGGCAAAAAGACTAACCAATTCACCCTGGAAAAAGAAAAAGAAAAAAAGATTTAGAACAAAAATCCCATTTTCATAATCATGGAGTAAATTCTACATGTAAACTATACGATAATCATTTAGATCATAATAATCAATTTGTTTAAAGCCTCGTGAATTTTATGCAGCAACCTTGTTGTGGCTATCAAATTCAGCCTGCATGGGCCTAAAGCAGACAGGAAACCTCTGATAATAGAAGAAAAGGTATGCACGGTAACAACAGTGAATTTGCCTATGGAATATGCCCATAGTTAATCTCCGATTCCTTTACTGATATATTGCATTCTCGTTGATCCATGAATAAGATTTCGAACTAGACAACAGATTTAATTTCACATAAATGAAAGTATCTTATTTACTACAATTAAAATAATAAATAATACAAATCTAATAGCTAATTGAAAAGAAGATTGTTCTTCTAGGCATCATAGTGTCAAATTGCGAGAAGGCAATAAACATTGCTGTCAGAGAATTAGAACAAGCGTGCAAATATAGCAGATGATTAACGTTCCAGATAGAAAGAATTGATGATAGAAAAAATTGCTTAGCTCCCGGAAAAATAGCTGCTAAATAGATGTATTGGCCATGAGGGCCATTTTTCATGGGCCATTTTTAGTGAAGAGAAGTGGAGCACAAATCGCTTTGCTTCTCTATTCAGGCTCTAAATGTTCAACGCATTAAATAGCAAAATCTATAAGTATATCGCGGCCAATACAAATCCATTCAACAGAAACTACCACAAGGAGTTCAAAGCGCAAAGCACACACAATGCATCATTCATAAATTCTGTCAAGATCCAGCATAGGTCCCACTCTGGCGGTGGATTCCATATGACTCTGGAGTCATAAGGAAAAAAAGCTTTTGAAAAGACAAACAAAACTAAAGTAATAGAAGCTATGTTGCACCGATACGGATACGGCGTTACGGATACGACACGATACGGATACAGGCACGTTAATTCTTAAAAATACAGGATACGGGTACGGCGCGGACACGGCATCATAATTTATAAATCATACATAAAAATTAAGAAAGCAATCAAAGCATAAAATTTGAAATTACAAAAAAAAATGACAACAACATCATTTGTAGCCTTGTAGCTTATAATATCAAAATATAAGCATTAAATGTCTAGTGCAACAACAAAAGCATAAACATAAATTGTCTAGCACATAAAGTTCAACTATTCAATAGAAGGAATGATATGATTAGCTTCTTCAGTGGTTTGTCTTTGAACTTCTATATCATCTTCAATAAATATCATAGCTTTTAATTCAGGCTCATCAAGTGAAATATTAGTAATTTCTAATATTCTCATATCATCAAGAGACTCAAATCCATCTCGGAAATGAGAAAACTTTGCTCGCAGCCGCGGAAGTAAATACGACGCATCTTCTTTTTTATTTCGGATTTCTTTTGTTTTTCAATGGACAAGTGTATCGGATACGTGTGTCCTTTTAAAATTAAATAGTATTTTAATTGGATACGTCTTTGGTGTATCCGACACGTATCGGTGGAGTATCGGAGGTGTATCCGTGTATCGGTGTATCGGATACAGCACGCCTTCATAAATAGGTGTATCTGTGCAACATAGAATAGAAGTTATGTCGCCACAATCATTGATCTATATTTAACAATAAGGAGTAGATAATAGATAAATAACCCTATCCTAAAAGGGCCAACTCAAAACCAATATTTCATTTTTCCTAGCAATTGTCCAAACTAAGAACTGCTAATCTGAGGAATTTTCAGTCAAATAAGCTATAATACCCAAAGTTTTGTCAAATGTAAGCATGAATTTTCTTCAAACTAATAGCATATCCATAGTATTTTAAACTAGGAGCTCAATAATATATTTATATTTTCATTGCAGTTATAGGCATTTCAATTTCACATTTTATTAACTGTAGCTATTATGACTTATTGTAAGAAACCAATCAATCATTTATTTAAATTCATCACTGTAGCAAATCCACTTAAAACAACGTGCAGAGGCTGGATGTAATCATACAGCTAGGAGTGGAGGAAATTGTGGTAGTGGAAATTTGTGACAGAACATTAGTATTAGTTTAGTATTATATAATAAAAATTAAGTTAAAACCTTTGCATTGGCTTTCATTTTTTTTCATACCCGGCATTCTCTAGAGGCGGCAAGGCCAGGGAGCTCAAGCTGTAGGCTGTAAAGGGAAGTGAAGTTGTTGTTGTGGAGAAAAAAATTCAGAAAATAAAAGGGAGAATGAGAAAAGCGAGGTGAGGGAAGAATTATGAATGGAATGAAGAAGCGTTTAATTGAAGTGGTATATAAAAGGAGAAAGAATCATAATACTTTAGGTGAACCAGTTTACCCCACTATTTTGAAAGACGATGTGAGATATCCAAACGAGGCTATAAAAATTACTAAATGTTATATTATTGCACTTCATCTTTATTATGTTTATGACCGCATTTATTTCAGTTCACCTTAGTTTGTTTTGTATGAACATGGTCGAACATGTATGAAATTGTTTATGCAGAGAGTAATCTTTATCAATGTTAAAGATTTTGTAAACATAAAACGATAAATGGTTATAAACTAATGAATGAATAAAGGGCAGCAAAAGGGCAGTTATAGGGCAGCAAAAAGGCAACAAAAGGACAACTAAAGAGCAGCTAAAGCACAGCAAAAGTGCAGCTAAAGCGCAACAAAAGGGCAACTAAAACGCAGCAAAAGGGCAGCTAAAGTGCAGTTAAAGGGCATTTAAAGCGCAGTTATGTCATCAAAGCATATGTTATTAGGGCTAAAAATGATGACTATAGGGAAAGTGAAAAAAGTTATGTATGGGGGATAGACCCGCACAAGTAAAGACGAAAAACTTGACAAGGTAAGCCTACACTCTCCATTCTAGAAGTTGGGAATTTGGACTCAACCCTAAATAAGAGAACATCTTCTATTCTAAAAGTTAGGAAGTTGAACCCAACCTTGAATTGGAACGCTGAAAAGGTGCAGAAGCTTATAATCATTATATGACTTGTTTAACGGTGTTGAACAGTTTTGGCTAGATGAATAATACGGCTAGGTACTTCTTATACTCAATGGGGCATTTTAATATGTATTTTTTAAAATAAGTTAGTATTGTTAAGCACTTCTTAATTGCTCACAATATTATTACTAATTTTTATACATTGATTGTGTATTTCATTGAGCTTAGCTCATCAGCAGTGGTTGTACTACAGATAAGAGAAAAGAACCCGTAGGACAATAGGCGGGAGGGAGGTGATCGTTCCTTTTGGTATAAGTATCTTTTGGTGTACAAAGAAAACTTAAAGGAGATCTAAATGATAGTTGTATAGACTTTTGTGCATGTAAGTAAAATTTAAAAGTTTTAATAGAGCTCTGTATTTACTTCAATTATATTTGACATTCATTAAGGGACATTACATACTTCCCATTTTTAATTATGGAATTTTATAGGTTGGCAAGTTAGGAGAGTCTAAATAGATTTCTTTTACTCACTCTATTCTGAAAGTAATGGCTTGGAATGGGTGTTAGTAAGAAGGAACGGTTTAGATTTTCCTTCTCTATTATATTCCAGATTGATCGTTAGGAGATAGGCCAAACTGAGGTGTGACATAAGCAGACTTGGGTACAAGAGCTAAGATAACAGAAGTTAACATGCATTCCAAATAAAGATGCAAAATCAAAAAAAAAAATTTCTATTGCTGTAACGAGACACAACATGCTGGTGGATTAGAAGCTCAATTCTAGTCTGAAGCTTATGCTACTCATAGTTGGATTAGAAGAGAACTTAAAAATATAATTTTGTGAAGAGATGGATGATAATTACAATGGATACCTTAGGAAGAAATGATACTTGGGGAGTATTTGTTGAGGCTAATTTAATGAACATGTAGCTATTAATATGATGTTCTATGAGGATTCGCTGTGTAATGACCTAAAAAAAAAAAGAATCACTTAATGGAAGTTCCAGTGAGCCTACTAGGGGCGGTCTTGGGGCGGTCTTAGAGAGAAAATGGAAGAGATCGAGGGGGTGAGACAGTGAGAGTGAGCAAGAGATGAAGATAAAACGTGTGAGAGAGGAAAAAACAAGAGAATGAGCACGGAAGCGAGAGGTACTAAGTGGGCACAAGGGGAGATCAGCAAACACAAGGGCCAAGCATTAGGTTGATTGTTCAGAAATGAAGAGTAGAGATTTTTCTCTTTTTTTCTCCTTCAAGCTCAACGGTAAGTTTTTACCTAGATCTTCATTTATAATTTATAAACCCTAGATCTAGATTTATTTACAAAGAAAACTTTTTGTTAGGGTTATGAGTGGAAAAGAAGAGTGGAATAAGAGAAGTTAATTTTAGGGTTGCGAATGAACCGAGCGTTTGACGAGCTACTTGTGGCTCGGCTCGACTAGAGCACATTCATGTTCGTTTAATAAGGTAAACGAACGAGCTTGAACACTTTTGATAAATACTCGATAGCTAAATAAACGAGCTTGAACAACTTGACGTTCGGTTCATTTATGTTTATGAATAGTATCATTTAAAGCTTGTGAACAAGCTCGACTAATAAGCTCGATTAGAACTATATTAGAGTTATAAAAAATACATATTATTAATTTAATAATTTATTTTTACTAATCCAGCATAAAATCATTTAATGATTTATTTTACTTCTCGTATCCACCTAAAATTGAGAACAATCCGCTCTCTGAATAAATATAAGATGAATCATAGATCGTTTGTTAGTGAACGAACTCATTTGGTAGCTCGAAAACACTAATTAGTTATGTTCATGAACGGGCTCATCTAATAGCTTAAGAATAGTCATTAGATATATTCGTGAACGAGCTTGTTTGATCATTTAAAAAACTTCGCTAGATATAATCACGAACAGGCTCGATGTAATTGTTTGTCAGAAGGCTCGATAAGCCTCGTTGTTAAGTTAATGATGCAATCAAAAATTTGGGGAGGGACCCAAATTTTTGATCACAAAAAACTAA